ATTCAAAATTGTTTGCCATGTTAATCTAATGATAGTGCTGAAGTTTCTATATAATCCATGGCTTTGTAGTTTGTAAGAGTTAATAGTACATTTGGTATAATACACATTAACAGGGATGTCTAAAATTGTGCCTTCATCTCTTGCTTTGTTTTACTAATTTGTCTTCTCTTTTGGTCTACGTCTCTTCTTCTTTCAATGTCATGAAAGCATAGCATATAAGAACAATGCATACATGGATCTTCAACAATAGTTGTTACTCTCCTGCGTTAAAAGCAAAGAGAATTGAAACCTTTATCATTGCTAAATTCGTATTCCAATTGAAAAATAAATGATAACCTATGAAACAAACGAAGATTTGCGGAAAGGGTTACTTACTATCTTTATCAGTCGGGAAGAATGATTTCGAGTACGACTATTCAATTGTTCATAGAGTCTAAACTGATTAATTAGCGATAGGAGACACGATTAAAATATAGATGATGATTAGACAAAGTATATAGAAGTTCCACGAACCAAAACTATATTCTAGAGAAAACAATAGGTAAAAGAGGCATGAAAGTTTGAGACGATAGAACAATTTACCCTTACATTCGCCGGAGAATGGTTAAAATGAAGATTAAACCATAAAGAAAAAAAGCAAAAAGCAACAGGAGAGAGATGTGCACAATTTGCTAATTAATAAAATATTATTACAGTGAAAATAGAGATGAAGATCTTTTCCGTTTGGTAAGAGATTTCAAAAATATATATGAACAAAGAAATTGCAGTTTATTGTTGAGCAAAAGAAGTGAAGATCGTGGGAGATTAAGGTGGAAGATGTTTTTCGGGGAGATTAATTGTAAAATTTAATTTAATTAAATACATAAAAACTTCAAAACTCAAAATTTGAGAAATTGACACGTATTAAAAATGCTTAAGTGTCATTATGAGAGTGATTTTAGGATTATTTCTCTAACTTCTATTTTATAAGATAAAAGATTTTCCTAGGATTTATTAAAAAAAGGGTTTTAATTATAATTAAAAAGTTTTTAATTACAACTAAAAACAGTTAAGGCATTGTAGATATTTATTTCATCTAAAAATTAGAAAATCTCTGGTTTCTTCTTCATTATTTTCTTCCATATCCAAAAACTCTTTTATTTCAATTTTAGAAACAAAAATCAAAGAAATAAATATCTCTGAAGATGATGGCGACGGCGACGAACGTAAAGGCTAGGGTTTGAAGAATGTTAAGGGATCGATTCAGATTAAAAGGGGATCGGGATTTTGGGGATTCAGTGATATCATCGGATGAAGAGGAGACACGGAACTGGTCGAGTTGGGTTTACCAAAGGAGAAATGAGATAGAGATCGAGATTACTGATTTGGGGATCTCGCAAGGGATATCAAAGGGGGATACGATCGGATTCGACTTGAAGGATAAGGGGAGGAGAAATCTTGTGGAGATCAGGTGGTTAGAGGGGGAAATCACGAAGGCAAATCTGACTAGGGAAGCGCTCATGTCAGATCGTAGAGGATATGGAAAGTTGATTTGGGAATTTGATATATTGCAACAACTATTTACATTTGGGGAATCAAAGGTTGGGCTGCAGGAAGTTTTGCGGATTGGGGATTTGGTAATTAGACAAGATACACATTGGAAAGATTTGGGAAAAGGATATTCTCAGAAAGATAAGGGAAATACAGAGGCGAGAGTTTTAGTAAAGAAAAAATCTCATTTCCTTAGAATGGTCAGGGAGATGGAAATGAGATCATTTGCAGATCCTGGGAAATTAATAGAGATTATACGAATCAATATGCCCTCAAGGAAATCGTGGCTCCCTTTATAAAGACGATAAAGGGGACTCAATGGCTCTTTATCTTTTCTCGAAGGCTTTGGGTAGTTGTCTATCTCTGGCAAAGGTTTAGTAGATCCGTTTGGCTTGGTGATAGATTGGTTGTGTGGTTTTTCATCCCTAGAAGGAGAATGGCTCACGTGGCGGTTAATAAGATTGAGGTGGTTAGAACTGAGGTTGTAAAGATTGCATCTTTGGATGTAGAGAGACGAATCAAACAGTTTGAGTTGACTCTGATTGGTAGGGTTTGGAACCCCATGTTCCAGAACATGGATTCATTGTTGCATAATATGCCGAAGTTTTGGCGATTGGAGGACAAGGTGACGGGAGCAGATTTAGAAGACGGGAAATTCCACTTTAACTTCAGATCAGAGGAGGATATTCAAGAGGTATTGTGTAATGCTCCTTATCATTATGATTCTTGGATGGTCTAGTGGTGGACTCGAAGTATCCCTGAAATCACTGGGCTAGGGTGAAGGGTTTGCCATTTCAGTATGCGGCTGCTGGATCATTATGGGTAGTGGGGAAGCTGTTAGGAAAGGCATCTGATGTCGATGAGGACTCGGGATATATACGTGTTACTCTTAATGGTTTTAAGCCTCTGGTGTTTACAACTATTATCCCTTTCGATAATGGGCATGAGGTCACGGTGACCATTGACTACGAAAAATTGGCTAATCACTGCAAACATTGCTTTAGATTAACTCATTTGGCAAGTGTGTGCCCTGAGTTATGTGAGCAGGTGGATAAAGGACGATTAAAAAGGAGGATAACCAACAGGCAACAGAGCCATACTCTAGTATCAATGGGGAGAATGGCTGGGAGGTGGCTAGGAAGAAACCGGTTAAGCGAGCTCTATGTATAATTTTTCCCCAAAGGAAACAGTAGTAGTAGGAATGGAATTGGTTTCAGTCACGGCCAAGAGTTTCACAAAGGGGCTTCCTGGGACGGAAGGATGATTCGAAAGGATAGCTCTAGAATTGGAGCTTGGGAAAGTCAGGCCAGAGGTAACAAACAGGTGGAGAATGTTTACAGGGTAAAGGATGGCAGGCCACATTCATACGACAGGGGGCGTAATGCGAGTTGGCCTACTCCACTCTATCATGTTCAAAAGGGAGGATATTGGCCAATCCACTAGACATGGTGGTGGTAATGTTAAGAGTGGAGTGGCTGTTTAGATAGTAGGGATAAAGAAAAGGGGAAAGAAATTCCCGAGACAGATTTGGTGTGAGAAGCGGGTTTGAGTGATGACGAGAATCGAGAGATAGAAGATGAGGATTTGTTGATGGAAGAAGGGCAATTAATGGCTGCAGAGTTGGACGCAGAGATGGAGAAAAGAATGTATGACGACTCCACAAACGAGGCCATACCTACTCAATCTGAAGGTAATATTCACACTCATACAGTAAAGGTAAATAGGATTGAAAATTTTAGATAAGGAGTTATCAAACTGTAATCTTGTTCCATTAAAGGCTACTAAGATGGGGAATTGCAGTTCTATGGTTCTCAAAGGGGTTAATAGTAGGAAAAGGAATTTAAT